CAACCCATAATGCATTTCAGCAGTAACATAATAAACACAAACAGGATCTTATTTCTTCTTCTACTTCCTTATATCCCACAAACCTGTCAGCAGTCAAACCATGTTAGAAATAGTTAAGCTGAAACGCAGGAAACCAATAATGATTTGTTGGTTAGCAGCGCTAATAGGTGAAGAACAGTGACAGTTATCTTGCAATTTAGAACTTAAATATTCTGCGTTTAACAAAAGTTACGGCTAAAAATATAATGGACACCAATCAACACTGGGGTGAGTCTTAATATGATTTTATATCCTGTACAATGAATTCATTGTTTTAAAGCAATCTGTTCTGTGATGGCTATAATGGCTCACATTACTGTATTATACAGTACAGCAATGCAAAAAGTGGGTTTATAAGTGTTTCACTTTCCCAAGGGTGGACCGGTGTGAACTCACAGAGAAATGCTGTGAGGCGCTGGCTTCAGCTCTCAGATCAAACTCCTCATACCTGAGAGAGCTGGACCTGAGTGACAATGACCTGCAGGATTCTGGAGTGAAGCTGCTCTCTGCTGGGTTGGGAGATTCACACTGTAAACTGGAGATACTGAGGTCAGTATCATTGGGTATTCCACACTATAATCTGGAGATACTGAGGTTAGTCATATTTGTCAGGCCAAATAATAAACTTGTATTTCACAACGACACTGCAACTGGCACACAGGTTAAACCACAGGCCATGGGTATTTGACAGTACAACTGAGTATTCCACACTATAAATGGGAGATACTGAGGTCAGTATTACTTGGTATTCCATGTTGTAAACTGCAATTGTATTGAAATATTTATTAGTCCAGGAATATTTGCTTAAACATTATACTTTTAATGGTGAGACGATATTATTTATTGAAGAGTTTTTGTCTGTCTCTCTGCAGGCTGTCAGGCTGTAGAGTCACAGAAAAAGGCTGTTCTTCCCTGGCTTCAGCTCTGAGGTCAAACCCCTCACACCTGAGAGAGCTGGATCTGAGCTACAATCACTCAGGAGACTTAGTGAAGTTGCTCTCTGCTGTATTGGAGGATCCCAGC